TATGTTAATAAGTGATTTTGGCCTGCGGTATTTACCAATTGCTTTTCCAATATGGCAGCAACATTTTCGGCCGAGGAGGTAGCAAATGTTGTTGTTTCTTCAAAAAGGAAGCACAATAAAAGTGAAGCAAAGGACCAGGGCAATAAAATCAGGAAGTGCCTGCTGCCCTTATTCAAGGAATCAAAAAGCGAGCTGCTAGAGGAAGGAGTGCGATTGCTGCAGCCGCTGATAGAAATGCCTAGCAGCTGCCCATCGAAGATCCTGGCTGGCAGCTCAATAAATGCAGCAATCGTTTTCCGGAACGAGTTGCGAATGTGGCTGGCAGCAATTTGTCGCCGACTATGCGGCAGACGTTGTGTGACGAACCCGTTCTCCTCGGAAATAACACGCGATATGCCTTATGAGCTGTTTGTTGTGTTTCGGAGGGTGGTCAAGACTGGGCCTGGGTTTGTGGAGCCATATTGTTTTACTGGAAGCAATAAGAAGGGGGATGTAATATCCTTCACAAATCTACGCCTAGTTACGGAGTTACTGGCATTGCTCTCAGGATACCCAGAGAAGGAAGTGGCAACATATTTTAGGAGGAATTTAACTGGACTGAAAGCTGGACATAAGGTCAATGTTATTGCAAGTGAGGCTAAGGATTTTGCTTTTATTTACATACAGAAACAAGGTAAATTTACAATAAGTTTTAATTTTGGTGAGTGGAATGTCAATGGGTATCCACAGCACTCTTAATTTAAGTTTATATGAAAACTTTACTTTAGATTCCTCATAAAATATGTTGCTACTGTATACCACTTTGAAGTTATACAATTTATTAATCAAAATGCTGATGTTAATAATGCATTGTATGGCTTACAGACTCAACTGTATGCCATACAATGCACTATTAACATCAGCATTCCGCATACAGTATGTGGTACAATAGACCACTTCTGAATTCAGTTACATCAATCACAGACTGTCTTGAAAACTTTGCTCTGTGTGAAACTGTTATGTCTTGGTACTAAATTTAGCACTGATGTTGGTCTACACCTCAACCTGGTGTTGGTCTACGACATAATTCGGAAGTGGTCTATTGCGGCTCACTTCAAGAGAGCAATGCATAGTACAAAACCAGATATAATTGAAAAAATGGGTTGAATAGGAAAAACAACACACTATATAACTGCAGAGAGCCCTGCTGCCTTAAAATTTTTATTAGTTACTGGAAAAGGGGGATTGCACTGCACTTGTATTTTACCTCAGCAAAAATATGTCACCTCTAATATGATCAGTATATTACAGCTGCAGGGTGTACTTCTGTGATAGGATTCAGTGATCACTCTATGCAGCAAGTTGTGAGTTTCCTGCATTTAAACATCCGGTTCCTCCCAGCTAAGTGAACACAGATATCGACCCATAGGTTAAGATAAATAGATTAGGATAATACATTTTTTATAAAGATTAAATTATTTTCCTACACACTTAAAATGCACAAATGTACAATTTGTAACAAACTGCAGCAGGCTTGTAGCAAGCTTGTTCCAACAAGCTGTTAACAAGTTGTGTTCATACACTGCTTATTCCCAGCTTGTTGACAAGTTGGTACAAGCCTGCAACAGACTTGCTACAAGGTTGATAATTCAACAGAGTTGTAACAAGTTTTTCCAACAATTTGATTTCATCATGCATTTCAACAACTTGTTATCAAGTTGTGAATGACAACCTTGTAACAACTTGATAAAATAACAACATATTGTTACAGCTTGTCGACAACCTGCTACAAGCTTGTTGCAAAAACACACATTGTTGACAAGATGTGAGATATTTTACATGTGTATGTAACATAATCCCAGGAAAACATTGAGGGCATAGGGGAAACATATAAATGTTGAAAAAGAGCAAATACATGTATTATCACTGAAAGTAAGACACACACTTTTTATAGAAATTTTTTAATATTATTAATAATATACAGAGATATTTATTGCATTGCTATTATTTACAAAAATGCCAACCACCTAATTAATAGAGCTCTGTTTAAATAGCAAGGCCATGACTCAGTATTAGGGATCGGTCATTATTTATGGAAGAGGGGAACAAGAGGGCCATATGTATAAATAAATGACTAGAAGGGGGGGGGGGGGCTATTAATTTTTTTCAAGAAAAAGAAGGGGGGGTTGCAATTAAATTGGAAGGAATTTGCTTAATAAGCATGGTCTGTGGTGTGGTACCATTTGGCTGTAAATGTTGCAACTAAATCATGGTCACTGATGTGAAATAGTCTGGATTTATCTTGTCTTCTGTGTGCTGTATGCAAATCAGTCCTCACTGATTGCAGAGATAAATTGACAATGGTTATTACATCAGCTGTCTTGATGTGATTAAATACATTTAAGCAAGGTTAACGGCGGATGTATTATGCAGGGGAAAGGATGTATTATGAGGGGAGTCTGTGATGTCATATCAATCAAAGGGGGTTGTTTCGTGCCTTGTGATTAGTGCTTCGGTCTGGGTATTCATTCTGCCATTGTATGCTTTGGCTAGCTGCAGCAAGTTTAGCACTTTGATACCTTTACCCCACCCATCCATGTTTATTCTAGAGGATTTTATCTGGTAGTATGTCATTTTATTTTATATAATTTTTAATCTCACATAAACTAGGATGTATAGACCACTATACATTGTATTTCGTTCCCACTGACTTGTCAGTAGTCAAAGTCTTATCTCCTTTTGTTGTTAATATTACTGATTGTTACTCTCATTGTTGCTGCGCAGCTGCTATGGCCATACTTCGTGCCATCAAGTCTAGTTGCAGCCTTGGACCACAAACGGCACCTTCCTCCAAACACTAATACTCTGCCATTAAACATGGTTACAATCGCCCAGACCAAATGGAAACCTGATTTTAGTGTTATATATAAAAATACTCCTCTTCTAATTATAATTTTCTGCTAATATATATTTTTGGTCGACGTTAATATCAGTCAGTTCCATATTCTTATTTAATAATTAACACTATAACGCCTTATTTGATGAGTAAAAATAAAATTGGGGGGGGGGGTCAAAGAAAAATATTCTAATATGCAGGGGGGGTCATCATTAAATTTCTGCTCTTTTAAGGGGGGGCTTTCAATTTTAAAAATTTAGAAAATAATGACCGGTCCCTTAACTGTTTTGAAAATCTAACTTTTTAAACTTTTTTTTCTTTTTTAAACTTTTTTAAAACGTTTTTAAAACCTTTTTAAACTTTTTCTTTAAACTTTTTTAAACTTTTTTTTAAAACTTTTTTAAACTTTTTTTAAAACTTTTTTAAACTTTTTTTTAAAAAATCCCGAAAATCTAAAACACGTCCGAATTTATCATAATGATAAATTCGGACGTGTTTAAGAATTTACTCATATAGTAAATTCAAAGGTGGAGCTAGCCCATGTTGATCAATGAGTCCAACTGTCTACGGAAAAAAAATCTGCGGCGGCGCCATGCATATTCATGTTTTGGTCGTGTATATTATATTTTGGGATTTACGAGTTTTAAATTAAACATACAATAAATAATAGATTATACCTGTGGCATATACGTCTACTTCACAAAGCTGCAAATACTCTCCTTTTTTGCTTTCAATCATTACATAACGAGCTAATAATGGTGGCTCGCAAATGAATATATTTTCCGAGTTTCTATCAATCTCTAACTTTTTCGCAAAGTTTGGTAATATACCATCGTCTCGCAAGCCGACAGTAACCAGAGGAGTTTCGGCGGAAATGGGCAATCTAGCGATATTCACTGAATAGATTTTAGCTGGTTCGTCAAGGATAATTTTCCACCAAGAATTTTTGGATCGCTAAAATACGAATAAATATAGTATATCAGTACTAATTTTATGATAACATCACCACTTTCTTGAAAGTGAAACACTTAAATATTCTACTATGTACGGCCGTCTTGGCCTGAAGGGCTTAAACGGTAAAACAAAATTTAAGTCCTTCTCTATTAGTATGCAGGTGAAGCCTACTTTGGGGTGGTAACTCGCCTAAAATTGCATTAAATGGTGTATCTTTCGACCAACACATGTCTATGGGATAAGTCATCAACTATTTCGCTGACCTCAGAATGACATTTCGTCAAAACGTTTTTCTTCACGATTGGTTTAGAAACCAATTTGGAGTAGGGTTAGGTTAGGGTTAGGGTAAAGATTAAGGTAAGAGTTGGTGTTTGGAGTAGGGTAAGTGTTAGTAAAACCGTTGCTTTGTTACGTTTTGTCACTCTGAGGCCAGCGAAATAATCTCTTCCTATGGATAAACATGTTACCAATATTTGCAAGAACTGGGTTTTTTCCTTCAATTTGAGAAAAATAGAAACAATAAAAGAGTATTTATCAACATCAGATATCCAAACTTTAGTTCATACTTTTATTACATCGTAACTGGATAATTGTCAATATTTATTATATGGATTGACTAAATTTCTCATTGATCGGTCACAGAATGTGCAAAACTGTGCTTTTCGTCCGGTGACATGGAGCAAAAAATATGATCATATTTAACTCCATTAATGATCAATTATATTGGCTTCCCATCAGTCAACGCATCATCTATATAAAATTGTTCTTGTACGTATAAAACGCTGAAAGGTTTAGCTCACATATGCATTAATAAATAAATCGCCTAAAATCGTTAAAACCTCACATTATATATCTCGCGGCAGGTTGGCCGAGTTAGCACCCCAGGAGTAGGCCTAATATGGTTTCTTGCCAATGGAGATATGATCTGAATACATAAAACGTTTAAAAGCGTTTATAATAGGCCTACTGTAGAACATTACGAATATGTCAAAACAATAAGATCAAACAATACTCGATACAAAATTACTACTGATGCCAGAACAACACGATCATCCGTCATTTCACCGGATGTTTACTGCGGTTTTAAGCCTGTCCAGGTTTCTAGTAGACCTCTGGGCCCTACATTACTTATTTTACATAATTAATTACTATTCTTGTAAATACTACTGGGCGAAATCATTTAAATAAATAAAATAAAAATGTAATAAAATGTTTACGTGGTTACGGCGGTTTACGCTTTGGCGCAATCTTTGGTGGATGTTTATGACGTTTCCTGACGCAAAATGTCGATTTCACTTGTGTGATTAGGGGCTATAAATCCTGAAATTT